CTCGCCTGCTTAAAAAGACACATTCCTAGACAGTTGCAGAGAATCAGTATTTCTGTTAGGTGACTCTTGTAATCAGACGAGTTTGGGCAACACTTCCCAGTACTGGATCTCAGGCCTAACTGCACACTAGAATCTTCTGGGGAGCATAAAAAAACAACTGATGTTCAGGTCCCAGACCAGACCAATTACATCATCATCTCTGGGGTTGACCTGGGCGTGGATATTTTTAAAAGCCCCCAATAATACTGATATGTAGCCAGGGCTGAGAAACACCATTCCAGGGTGTTGCTACTCAAAGTGTGATCAGCAGACCAGGAGCAGCCATGCCAGCGTCCCCTGGAAGCAGGTTAGAAATGCAGGGTCTCAGGTCTCACCCACCCACTCCTCTTGCCCTCCATTGCCATCAAATCAATTCTGACTCATGGCGACCCCATGTGTTACAGAGTAGAAGTGCTCCATAGGATTTTCTTAGCTGTAGTCTTTACGGAAAGGAGCCCTGGTGGTGCAGTGGTTAAATGCTTGGCTGCTAACTGAAAGGTCAACGGTTCTAACCCACCAGTTGCTCCACAGGAAAAAGATGTGGCAGTCTACTTCCATAAAGATTACTGCCTTTGAAACCCTATGAGACAGCTCTACTGTGTCCTATACAGTGTCCAGGAGCTGGCATCGACTTGATGGTACACAGCAATCTTTACAGAAATATATTGCCAGGCCTTTCTTGCATGATGCCGTTGGTTGGGTCGGCTCCAACTGCCAACCTTTAGGTTAGTAATCAAATGCAAACCATCTGCACCACGCAGGGACCAAACAGTTCCTGCCCCAGACCTCCGAATGGCAGTCTGCATCTTAACAAGCTCCTCTGGGGATCTGGGTGCACATCTGAGGTTGACAAGTCTGCCCTGTTGTTGTCGTTGTTGTGTGTGGTTGAGTCGATTCCAACTCATAACAACTCCATGTGATAGAGTAAAACTATCCCACAGGGTTTTCTTGGCTGTAATCATAATTGAAGGAGATTGTCAGGTCTTTCTCCATGGAATGGCTGAGTGGGTTCAAACAGCCAGCCTTTCGGTTAGCAGCACACTGCTTAACCAATGTCATTGTACCACCAGGGCTTCTTATGGCTGTCCTAGTGCATACCATGGTACACGTATCTTTGCACCCTCAGAGGATAGATTTTTGCTCCAACCTCCCCCTCCCCTGGCTCTACTACCACCCACAAAGGCAGCTTAAAAATCTCTTCAGAGGTCTTTTTCTTTATGTCCTCAGCCATTAAATGTGAACTGAAGAGGAATAGGGTGAGGGAAACCCACCTGTTCCACGATCACTTATTGAGCTATGTCAAACCGTGTACACTGCTCTTGTCCACCCAATCCCCCACAAATTCCAACTGGCAACTTCTGTTTCCTGTCCCATAATCAAAGACATGAAGGACCACTAACGTTCACATCAGCGAACTCATTTCGACAGTTTTCTTTAATTAACGATGAAGACACTACAGTTCTAAGTACCAGACAGAATCAAAAAAAAAAAATTTTTTTTTTTAAATAAGCGTAACACTATAAAGAAAACTTGGAAAAGTGAAATCCTCCTAAATAAAAATATGTAACTGGCCTGGTACCTGTTACATATATACATAATACATATATTATACACAAATATACAATAAATGTTTTGGTAGCAATACAGACCATGCATTGGTCTTTTTGTACACAGATGAAGTAGCACCATGAGCAGCACCACCATCTTAAGATGATAAACCAAATGGCACATACATTAAAATAAAATATATAGGTATTTAATTTGGCCCACCCTGTAGCCAAGAGGTGAAAGAACTTCATAAGAAAAATTGTTCCAGGAACTACATTCATTCTTAAGCCAATGGTAAAGTTCTAAAAAGAAAAAACCGCACTAAAGATGTCTATGCAAATACAGATTAGTTTTCCTGTTTACTGAATTTGTCCTATCACATGGCATACTGGTTAACACTGAGGAAATGAACAGCAGATCCAAGAGAGAGGTGAAATGGCAGGTGTACGGCAGAAGCTAAAACACCAGATTTCTTGGTGTGTGTTTACAACACAAATGCCAAGTCATCAGGAAACTAGGAAGGGAATTCTCTCATCTAAGTCATACATTTTCTAATCAGATTAGCTAATTATAAGCTGTTTATTAATGGTCAATTCCTTCAAGGAGGGTCAAACACCTTCTATATCATTCTACCTCCTCCCAGCACTTAACTTGGTACTCAAGTTACAAGACGTATGCCATCCAACGTACCATAGGGCCCATACATTCTTTCTCCACACTCAGGAAATGGATTTACAGAGCTACTGAAGTACCTCCAGGATCTTATCTGGGTTGGCTGTGGAAATGACTAAAAGCACCCATGTTTCACCCTTGATGTTCTGCTGACTACAAGGCTATTTTTGCCCTCCATAACTAAGTTCACAGACTGGGGTCCTCTTAGTATTGGAAGGTTATAGTTTCTCACATCCCTGAAAGTGCAGGCTTCTTCCTCTCAAGTTTCTCAGCAGTCTATAAGAACGTGGCATCACCTCCAACTAATGTTCACGGTGTCCTTGGAACACTAACCACCTGTGTAGTCCCTACAAAGAACCCATTTCGTATTTGGCTTCCATCCATTCTTCGCATGCCTTCCAAAGTGTCCTCTCTCTCCCCAATCAAAGTCTTAATTCCCAGTGTCTCTGGTTTCAGTGCCTCCCTGTGTGATGGGCTGACCTACAGAGCTTTGCCAAGTCACTTGGAGATCAAATATGGGTCCACTGCCACCAGCAGTTGGAGCACTTCACATCAATACATTTTTCATGGCTCTTATAGTCAGTGGATGGTGAGCACCTCTCCCTCCTTCATTTTTGAGGCATCTGCAGTAAATAAAGTTTCCAACTACAAATGCATGTGGCATTTAGGATGTAAGATAGAATAAAACAGGGCTTCAGTATAAGACCTAAAATTATTTCTTAGTACTTAAATGTCTCAAATTCAAAAGACAGCTAGGAGACAAAAAGCGGGAAAGAAAGGTTAAAAAAAACTCTACTTCTGGCTACACGATTTTTAGTAAATCCATTTTTGCAGTCAATCTAGATTAGTCAAGAGAGTCCCTGACCTTTGAAAGTCAGCGAGAAATAGCCACAAATGTAACATCAGTACTGATTTGTCATTATTGACTCAGGTGGTTGATCATTAATGGATTCTCTTCACTTCTAGCTGGTTCTAGGTTCATTCTTTTTGCCCAGAATGAAGATAATATCAAAGTCATGAGCCATTATTTACTCTTTTCACAAAGGAAAATTTGAAAACTCTGCCTAAGTATCTAAGAAAGAATGCTGTGAAAGATTGGCCTCATAAAGAAAAAGCCACTAACTTCTAGTTTAACCAGAGACCACTAGGAGCCCCATTAACGTAAGTCCTTGGCTGGACTACGAATACTTTGAAATGGATAAAAGCCAACCCTACTTAATAGGAACGGAACACAAGGGCTCAACAGCTGATGTTGCTCAAAGTGAACCCTTTGTGTAGCCAGAGCATGAGGATCTACTTTGTTCTACCAACATCCTCCAGTTTTGAATCAGTAAAGTCTGATACCTCCATTGACCCCAGCTCAGGGACCACTGGAAGCAGCTTAAATAAGAAAGTTCTACCTTTATGCTATTCTACCCAATCAAATGTCAGAGAAATGGAAACCAAGAGATGTACTTTCCAGACTGCTCACTTCTGTTATCACCTAAAATATGTTGATTTATTCCACATGCAGACGTATCCTGATGATACATATTCAAAGTTTGTTGTTGTTGTTGTTATGTGCTGCTGCGTCAGTTCTGACTCACAGCAACCCTACAGGACAAAGTAGAACTGCCCCATAGGGTTTCCAAGGAGCAGGTGGTGGATTTGAACTGCTGACTTTTTGGTTAGCAGCCAAGCTCTTAACTACTGCGCCTCCAGGGCTCCATTCAAAGTTTAGATTCCTTGAAAAATAATAACCAGCTTTACAGGGAAAGGGTTGGGGCTGATTTTGTTCATTGATTTCTCTGTAACTACTTGAGTCCTCAGTGGAAGAAAGCAGGGCAGCTTGTTTTCTTCCTCCGCTAGCAAGAGAATGAGTCAGAAGACTTGAAAAATGAAAGCTAGTTTGGCTAAGTCTTGTTTTTTACAAAAAAGTAGAAACAAAATCTTTCATCTCAGATTTTCAAAACTGGTAGTGTTCTCGACTAATGGGAAATGATGTCATTCAGCTAGTTCCTTGAAAACAATGGACTCTTATGACTACAGACCTATTCATCTTAGAAATTATGAGCATGCAAGTGATTAAAGTCTGCAACAATGAACATTGTACAACAGTCTGTGAGGTACATGCCCTCCACTTGAATTAACAGTAACACAGGCCTCAGTGGTAGGGGCACTTCCATTTATCTGCACTCACTTTAGAGTAGAGCAGGGGTCCCCAAACATTTGATCAGGGGCAGCAGCCCCTGTCATGCTCTGCAGCCCTGGCCCCTTCCTTGATGACCCACCACCACCCAGGGAGCTCAACCCGTTAGAGAAATAAAATGTTACTCCTCCCCACAGTGGGGCTGGGAATTCCTGATGTAGTTTCCACTGACTCAGAGGGTGGTTGGTATTTGCATTAATTCCCTTAACCATTAAGAAGTTTACTTGTAAAAAGATGAACAATTCTGTAGGCAAAGATCTTGAAGTAGTTTGTTGCCATTTCCTTTTCTCCACAAGGAAAAATTCCAAGATGTGTATACTTTCCAAACAAGAAAACGATGAACATTGTCACTGCTGGTTACATGTTTCCTCAGCAGGTCATTATGCTTTGATGTGCTCCCTATACATCGTGTTTTATTAACTAATCACTATTGGCCAGTACCCACCAGGGCAAATGGGCAAATGACATTCAGTTAAATAATGTAACATTGGGAGTGCTCAGAAAACAAGAGAAAAGGGTCTTAAGGAAAGTGCCTCGGAGCCCTGGCCATGGTAAAAACACTTTCTGGAATTTGAATTTCTGATCAGCAAGCACTCATTTATCTGACCATCTTTCTCAAGACCGTGCAGGAAGTGAAATATCAGAACGCGTGCACGCGCACACACACACATACACACACACACAAAATGGTGGGAATGGAGCAGAAAGCTTACAGAAGGGGGTGAGAAGAAAAGATCAACAGTATCTAGTTTATTATGAATAGAAAGAAATCTCCAGAATTTACAAACACCCACATTGTTCACTCCAAAGAGAGCTTTTGATTTGAAGGAATCGCCCACGTCTCCTTCTTTTTTACAATATGTACAATGGAAGACGTTGATTTCCTTTTCTTGTAATTTTGCTTCCATTCAATTGCCAATTTTAAGCCAACACTTGCAAACAGCCAGGAGAATATATCCTTCTTCAGTTTAATTAACATGGCCTATTGTCTTACAGGAAAAATACAAAATTAAAGTCTTGTAAGGAACTCAGCTCAACATCAGGGTTATATTACAAGAGATAACATCAGTAAATATAACTCTATACAATTGAGAACCATCTATGGCACTATGATTCTTATTATATTATTTTTCTCAATTATCATCTTAAAACAAGGGTAGTACCCTATTCTACTCTTTTTAGCCTTGTTTTAAGCAATTGCTCCACTCTTTACAACAGAACATTGTATACCTCAGTTCCACATCCAAAAAAAAGATGTGCTGTAGGAAAAGAAGTTACGTTTTAATTAAAAAATTACACATATAAATCAAAACCTATGTTAAATATTTAATACTCTCTCCACCCAACGTGAACAGTTTTGTATGAAATAATTTACAATGATGCGTTGCCGTACACAGTTTCAGCAGCAGATGAAATGTATCTTGTAAATGCACCGAGAGGAGACTCATTCTCTCCTGGCGTGGTGGTGGGCCCATCAGCTCCTTGCGGCCAGCTAAGTCCTTAGGGTTGAAGATGAAGTTTATGCAGACGCATTGTTCTGGTGTCACAGTGCTTTTTCGCTTGGCACAATATAGAACGTGCAGTTCAGTCAACAAACTCCTGAGGATTGTATAAAGTAAACAAACTGAAATGCAGGCATCGTACCATCTACTGAGGAGGAAGATGTGAGGTCCTAGTTGTGAATCATGAAATACTTAGAGTCTGGGTACCCATAAGTTAAAGGATTTGCTGAGGTCATGTAGGTCTTCATTCTGAAAAGGAAAAGGAAAGAATTCGTCACTATGGGCATCTCAAAATGCAGGTTTAATCACTCTTTGTAGGACTCTTCTTTCAAAAGGGGGTTATTGTTGTACGCCGTCTAGCCAATTCTGACTCGTAGCAAGCCCACGTGACAAAGTAGAACTGCCCCATAGGGCTTTCTAGGCTGTAATCTTTATGGAAACAGATCACCAGGCCTGTCTCATGAGGAACCTCTGGGTGGGTTCAAACTGCCAACCTTCTGGCCAGCCATCGAGCACTTAACCATTTGTGCCACCCACACACGGACTTCGTGAAAAAGGGGCAGTGTCAGATAAACTGAAGTTACAGGCACAAGCAGTACTGTGTACCTAAATAAAATCAACAAATTGTATTTAACTTTTTTTTTTCCCAAAACGCAGTAGTCTAAAGCAATCACAAACTAAAAGGAGTCAATATTCAATCAGTAAACAAGTCAATGTGATCTGGATGGTTCAGAGGTTTAGCAACACAAAAATACAAAATATTTTGGCCTTCTGACGATTGGAACAATAATACACATTGGAGCTATTGGTAAAACTAGTACAAGATATGGTAAACATTCATGCGGAAGCTTCTGTTGGTCAAAAGTCAGTTGCAGATTTTAGAATTTGAAGTTGCAGCGCTTAATGTTACAACATCTAAAAATCAATTTTTAATAGGACATTGTTTGCCAGCGGAATTTTAGATGCAACAAGAGACCCAAGACGAACAGATCTAGTTAATACGCAAATGAAAAAGCAAGAAAGTCATTCAAATTGAGGTCTACTAGAAATCAGTTATTTAGGCAGGAGCACCATATTCCTTCTATGAAATTCAAGAAGGAACACTTCAAAGGAGCATTACCCATTGCCCTTCTGAGAGTGACACCTTTTCAACCCCATAAAGTCTCTCTTTTGCTCTCAAGTATATTAGATAGTCCTTCTAAGGACCATGTTTTTCATGCATTTAAAAGATATCTACAAATATCAAGGTTTATAGAGTGCCCTACGCAGCACATGGCAAAGAGTAGACAATGAATAGTTGTTGAATGAGTAAATGGTTACATGCAGTACTATGGAGGATACCAAGCTGAATTCTGCTATGCCAAAAAAACACCATCGCCGTCAAGTTGATTCCGACTCATGGCGACCCCATGTGTTGCACAGTAGAACTGTGCTCCATAGGGTGTTCAAGGCTCAGAAGCAGATGGCCAGGTCTTTTCTTCTGTGGGTTCAAACTGCCAACCTTTCAGTTGCTAGCTGAGCATTTAACCATTTGCTCCATCCAGAGACCCCTAACTAAACCATTACCGTTGAGTTGATTCTGACTCATGGCGACTTAGCTACTCTAGCCAGGAAGGAAAGTCTGTTCATAAATAGAATACAAAGTAGAAAAGAATAAGTTCCGTGACAGATGCACAGGAAGGAAAAATAGTTCTAGATGCTTGGAGGAGGGAAGGATACTTCTAGCTAGGAATGTAAGGGAAGTGCCTTGCTGACGCACAGGCTTGGTTTAGAGGAGGGACGATTTGGGCATGTGACGACAGGGATCATGTCTATCCTGATTCAGTACTGCATCTTCAGAGCGGAGCGCGAAGTCTGGCACACAGCAGGCACTCAGTAACTGCAAGCGGAATGAAAGAAGGGGAAAAGCACACTTCTCCTTAAGGGAAATTAGAAAACAAGACCCAGGGAGAGGAGAGCACAGCTGCGAACAGGCCAAGCAAAGGGTGTGGCCCCCCTGCAGCACATAGTATCTGAAGAGTGATAGCAGGAGTTGCCTCTGCAAACGTAGGTTGGGATAGATGGCCAAGAACCTTTCTTTAATTTCTTTAATTATCGGGTAAACAAGGACACGCTTTGTGGTATGATCAAGATGCCGCAGTAATCCACGTAAGATCAGGATAGCGACGGATTCTAAAATTCACACAACATCAATGTTGAACAACAGAACTGTTTTCTTTCTCTCCTCTTGAAGGTGATTACAGCTGAGGTTGGCTAGCATTTGCTATTTAACTGATGGCTTTCAGGTAAGTTGAATTCTCCCAAACAAGGACTCCAGTTTTATGAGGAGATTTCTGTTTATTTTAAAATATTAACTCTGCTTCTAAAAGACAGGTAAACCGTCTACTTTCCTCCTTACAAATAAGGCCTTGACATGGAGACACCAAGGTAAAGACCAAAAGGCTTATCCCTGTAATAGCCAGAGACATCAGATCTCCTAACAAGTGGTGTCTTCACCACATCTTTCAGTGGTCACTTAGCCGTGAGACTCCCTGCAGAAGGCTCGCACAGACCTCTCACTTACTTCCAACTTCCTCCTGAACTCATACTGCAATCAATCACAATGTTCCTACCAGAACACCTAGGTACGGCTTAACACAGCTTCACAGCTCTGAGCCCAAAATTAGGCAGTCAGGCCTCGCTTTATCCAAGGGCCCGAAACAAAGAAACTGTGGGTATAAAATGGGAGAAAGCAAAGGGCACAGGGTATGCTTCTCATTTCATATCTGGCTCTCATCCAGAACGGCTGAATGAACAGCTTCGTGCAGGAACAAACTGTACCCACTTTTGTCATTGCCTGTGCCAGCCTGCATGGGTGCAACAGGGAGAGGTTAGGGGCCCTACAAGGACAGCAGAAAGCACGGCTTCACTGTGAGCTAGGAGTGACTGCTATGGGCCACTCTAAAGCATGCCTGCAATTTTCCACATGGTTAAGCGTTTGGCTGCTAACCACGAGATCGGCAGTTCGAATCCACCAGCCACTCCTTGGAAACCCTATGGGCCAGTTCTGCTCTGTCCTATAGGGTCGCTGTGAGTCGGAATCGACTTGATGGCAACAGGTTTGGTTTCTGGTATGCTCAAAGGGCAGGAAATTAAAGGATATATCAATTCCATCATGTACCTTCCCTGCAAAGTCTTAGCATACTGCTTTTTAAAGGCCCTTTATCATAAACCCTGATCATGTGTCCCAGCTACAAATGCTTCCTACTGGGACCATCCACCTAGAAGTCTATGGAAAAGTGAACTCAAGAGGGAAGTAACGCTGCCCTGGAGGGGATGGAACATTAGGTGGTAAACAGGCAACAACCAGGTGCTGTGGAGTTGATTCTAACTCATGGCGACCCCGTCCACGTGTGTCACAGTAGAACTGAGCTCCATAGGGTTTTCAGTGGCTTATTTTTCAGAAGGAGATCACCAAGCCTTTTTTCTGAGGCACCTCTGGGGGGACTCGAACCTCCAACCTTTCAGTTAGCAGCCAAGTGTGTTAACTATTTGCACCATACAGGGACTCCAAACAGGCAATAGACGCCTGGGGAATTTTCAAGCGAGAGTCTGAAGTTTACCCCTGTTTGTCTTTATACAGGGGTGTGTGTATGTGTGCGTGTACATAAAGTTTAACCACCTAGTAATTACATGGGTTTTAAACCGACATCCCTCCTTGAGAACTGTCTTTTACGGTGGCCACCTCTGACCACCTGGCCACCTTCCAATCACACAGCCATCGTTGGGGACATTTTTGGAATGCCTTCTCAAGTTCCCATTTCTTTTTTGCAACTGCCTTCTCAGCCCAGGGCATATTCTTTTGAATGGTCTTGATAGCAGCCAGTCTTGGACCTTTGAGGGCACATTTGATCTCTGAAGACAGCCCAGAAGCGTTTGGAGCCAAATATGGTGAAAAAAGGAGCTGAGTAAGCTGGTAATGGTTCTCAGCAAGGTAAAGAACTCCAAAAGTGAAGCTCCAAAACCATTGCTGCTCACGACAGTTCCTCTGATGAGGTTGTTGGAAAGACGTCTCATAACTTTGAAGAAGTCTCAAAAAACACACCATAAGGCTTAAGTTCATCTGCCCATATGCTTGCCTCTGAGCCTAGACGGCCTCTACATACATGCAATCAAGAAGAGCTGAGCCTGCATGAGGCAACTCACTTGAAGAAATGCAAACGTGTAGACATACATTATTGTAACTTAGGGGTACGTTTAAAAAAAAAAAAAAACAGTAACCATAGCAGGTTTTCGCAGTCATTCGATTCAATTAACATCTGCTGAGTGACAAACACAAATGCAACGATAAAGATTGTTAATAGGCACTTAAAAAGAAGACACAGGCATAACCAAAACCTACTGCCGTCAAGTCGATTCCGACTCACAGTGACCCTGGGCATAGATATGTTTATATGTACAACCCCAGTGGATTCACTCCAACCACGAGGCAAATATTGCTACGGTGTTTTACAAATGCAAAGACTCACTTGTAACAGGCATAAACTGCAAACAAAATAGCAAAACATTTCCTTAGAGAAGACGCTATGCTAGTATCACATATAATGAATTCAGCAATGGCGATACATTCTCTCCAGTTACATCATTAGGGAATGACTTCTGAAGCCAGAAGTACGATGCACCTGTCAGGAGATTTAGTAGCAGGAAATTACATTTTGACAAAACTTCATCACCACATCAGTATCTCTTGTACCCTTCTTGTGTATCTTCTCCTAAGATAAACCCCACCTAATCCTGTTGCCTGTAAAGAAAAAATGTAGTTTTTAAGGCATTATCAAATCAGCCAACACTTGAGCAATGGTACTTGAGACCGATGGATTATTGCATTATTATATCCAGCAGGACTTTACATCTTCTGGACTGTACTCACTTGAACTATGCCTACTACAGCTGAGAAACAAATAAGGCTTTAGCTTCCTTTCCCATGCCTCAACCTACTGATAAGTCTTTACTGTGAAAGCAGCTGAAAACGGCATAAGGTTATGAGGGATGTTGAGTAAAATGGGAGGACCAGCACTACTTCAGCAATGCATTTTTAGTCAAAACCATCTACTTAAAAGTTTTCATCTTGTATTCTACATACACTGAAAATTATTGCCAATTGTTGAGTAAAGGTGCAACATAGTAATAAGTACCTGATTCGGACACACTAGTAGTGTCTAGGAGCCCTGGTGGTACAGTGGTTAAGAGCTGGGCTGCTAACTAAAAGG